GACCCCTGCAGCAGGCAGGAGACCGCCCATGTGCGGCTTCCACGAGCTGCTGGCAGTGATGAGACGCAGCCTGTCACCCACGTGCCGGACTTCTCCGCCTTCCCTAAGCCCTTTGACAGCAAGGTGCGGATTTATTTAACTGATGCAGTCCTTGTGACTGTAAGTACTCAGTTCATGTTTGTGGAATAAACAAATGACTCAGAAACTTCCTATGGGGCTCCTGATATCTTCTCACCAAGTCCAAAGCCACAAGGCTTGTATGATTTTCAGAGGTAACTTTGGTTACACCTCAGTTTCCCAAGCTATAACTTGAGAGCTGAATATCTTGGCCTCTTCTAAGAGCCTACTGCTTAGAAAGGTTGCATTTATCACAATCCCCAGAGCCCAACAAAGCCTGGTCAAAAGATTTGGCATTTGGCTGCTGTAGGAAAGACTTGTTTTGCAGCAGAAATCGCTGTTGTATGTGCTCCACTGATTTGAACTGAATGAAAGGGTACCTCCCAGATGAAGATGTCCCAGCCATGCTGGGGCCTCCGAGCACACACGTGGAGATGTAGGACACATCCATGGAGCTGGCACGGTCCTGCGTGCTTTCACTGACGGTGTTGGCATCGGAAATCTTCCATGCCTCTGTGACCGTTCAGACAGTCCAGCTCCTGGACTCTGAAGCAAAGATCACCTCATATCGACTTGAAGGCCTAACACCAGGATCTGAAGCAGAGTTGCCCCAGGAGAGCACCCTAAGAATCTGTGGCGAAATGAGGCCCACTCAAACTGGTTTGCTTAGTCCAGCTCCTGCGCAGGCCCAGCATCGGGGAGCACAGCATCACCTCCATGAACTTTTCTATCCCAACGATTGACTGGCTTTATGGGTGCCAGATCCTGACAAAGAGTCCCGAATAGAACAACATCCTTTCCCCTTGAGGCACTACATTTCATGGAGAGAAGGCCAAACAATAAACAGAGACACAAACGCACAGCGAGTCAGGTAGTAATAAGTGCACAGAGGGGAAGAAAAAGGCAAGCGGGGGTCGAGGGCACTGTGATGTTTAGGAAGCTCTCTTGGCTGAGCTTGGCCTACAAAAGGGCCTTTCTGGTGGAAACTTTCTCCTGGGGTCTCAAGAGTTTTCTTTGCTCAGGCAGGCTGAGCGAGGCAGCACTGGTTAGCAGAAAGCAAACAGAAAAGAAAACTAAACTAGTGAGGTGTCTTCCCTTCCTGAGGCTCAGCCCATGAGCACTGCTTGGCCTCGCCTTCTTGAGCTGAGCTGGAGGGAGCTTTCTTCTTTCCTGACTAACCGGTGATGTGAAAGGCAGTCACCTCTACCCTGAAAGTATTCGTCTGAATTACCACAGTTACTGAAGAAGGTCATGATCTGATAGACACAGGTGATAATTCTGAAAACTGGACACTTGAAGCATAGACCGGCACATGGAGAACTATATAGGCGTTTATTGAAATGAGTATCAGAGCACCCGCTGGATAACATGCCTGAGGCGGGGAAAGCCCTGAACTTGCTTCCCTGTGGCCTGGAACGTGCTCAGCACCGTTGTGCTGTGTGGTAGGACCATCTGAGCGACCAGAGCGGTCCTGAGAAGACACCAAAGCTTGAGCCCACCAGCCTGGCACTACGTGGTCAAGAATGACATGGTTTTGAGCCCAGGAAGGTCCCACTGCCTGATGTCTACTGAGGCCACCATGCCCAGGTGACAATACTCCAAACTCGGGGAGACAAATCCTCTAGGCTCTGACTTCCCCTTGGTTAAAGCCAGCACATGGTTTTGGCTGCTCACTGCGTCTGCCTCCTCGCTGCCACCTGCTTCTGGCCCTGAGCCCCAGGTCCACTCTGTGACAATACCACAGCAACCTGGGAGGTTATGTAAGAGCTGAAGTCACACCAAGCATCTCCCGTGGAACAGATGTGGCCTTTCAGTGGTCCCCACTGGAGCACACTTCGAGTCCTCACCTCAGCCCTGGGCCCTGCACAGTGTAGCCCTTGGCCATTTCCCCTTCCCTTTGCCTAGTGCTTTCCCGTAGGTCACTCTGCTCCGGCTGCACTGTTCTTCCTGTGGCTTTCCAAACAAACCAAACTTATTCTTGGTTCCCAGAGGCCTCAGGGCGTTAGCACATGATTTCTCCTCTTCCAGGAATGCTGCTCCCCCAAAACCATGTAATTCTCTCTGTTACTTCTCCCAGGGCTCTCAAAAACCACCTCTATCATGAGCCCATGTAGAATAGGCCATTTCCCGTTTCCTTTCTCCTTCACGGTGCTTCTCAGCAGCTGATGTTATATATATACTTGTCCACTTTACCAGGATACAAACACCAAGGGCATTACTGCCTCTTCTGTGGAGCTTGTGCAATGCCTGGAATAGAACCTGGCACAAAATAGGTGTTTAATAAACATATGTGGGATGGCCCTGCCGAGACGCAGATGGGATTATACTCTGCATGCTTCCCCTTCCTGTCTACATCAGCCAATGCCAGCTTTTAGCTTCCTAGAGTGCTGAACAACTTCCAAATGTCTATGTTTGGGTTGGGCTCCGAGCTCTCCTCACCAGGGTCTCCATGCTGCTCACTTCCTGACTCTCCACCCTGACGCCCAGTGGCACCGGTTTCCAGCACTCCTTGTTCCGGAGGATGGTGCCACCAGCCACGTACGATGTAGCCCCGACCTTGTGGGTTCTTCTGGAAGCCTCTTTCCCTGTCCCTCCATCCAGTCATCACCAGGCCGTGGCTTTTCTGTCCCCACAGCCACGACTTCTGCACGTCTCACGACCACATCCCACCTATGTCTCACACAGTATGACCTTGAGGGGCACCTGTGACCACGGCACTCCCATGCTGGAGTCTGCAGTCTGCTTTCCTCTGCTCTCAAGATCAAAACTCAGAATCTTGAAGGCAGCTTCTGTAAGCAAGGGGGATATTCAACCAGGACCCCCACTATGCTGCACAGACCCTCAAGCTCTTAAGTACCCCTCACACCTATCTCCCTGGCCCCCTGGCCCATTCCCTCAGATCCCTTCCCCTCAGTCAACAACTCCAGGGCTAACACGTGGGCAGCAGGTGATGTTGGGGCTCCCAGGGCGCACTCTCCCAGCTGCTGGGTACTATATTTGCTTTGGCTCTGCACCCCCTGGTCCCTCCTGCACGCTGTGTGTGACCTGCTCTGGTCTTTCCTGAGCTCTTGGTCTTCTCCTTGCCTAGGGGATGTCACGCAGGCTGCTTGCATGGCTGGGATGCTCTGTCTTCCTTCACCTCCTTCAATCCAGCTCAGCACTCTTGCTCACAGTGGCCTTCCCTGGCCTCCAACTCCAAGGCAGTTCTTTTATCTGTTCTCAGAATATTGTAGTCCTTTCTTTTGTGAGACCTGATAAAGTTTTTGGGTTGCGTCTATTTGTGTGACTAACTGATCATCAGCTCTCACTGCCAGCAGACCACAGCTGATAGAGGCTAAGGACTATGACTTATTTTGCTTGTCCACCCCATTCCCCTCCACTCCACATCCCTGCAAAGATGCACCGGAAGACACCGGATGTAGGGGCCAAACGCTCAGTGGTGCTGGAATAAGTAGAGGAGCCAGGCACTCACATAAGGGCCCCAATGCACATACTGTACATGTGACTCAGAATGAATCCCTTCCTTTCTATAAACAGAATAATGATGATGACGATAAAAGTCAATAGAAAGGATGATGCAACAAGGAAATGGCCCTGAATATTCAGATGCTCTTGCAGAAGCCAACATTTCCTCTTGCCACACTGCTTAGAGTACTCATTTTGTGTGATGGCAAGCAGCATGCATTCTCCCCAGTCACACTATCTTGGAAGTATGTTCCTTCTGTAAGAAACTGCTGTGCTGTTACAGCCTCAGCTCCAAAGATTCCAGCCCAAAGCAAATTCCCGAGCCAGGACCCCAGGACAAGAACCTGTTTTTAGCTTCTCAGAACAAGGAAGGCGTGTTTTATAGAGGAGAAAGCCTTGTGAGCATTTAAAGCAGTGGTACTGTCCCCCCCGACCCCGGGGAGCACTGATGTGTTTAATGAGGGCGTGAGTAGAGGCACATCAGCCCCGCCCCCTGGCCCATCCTCTTCCCTCAGAAGCAGAAACCAGACTGCCCTGTGTAACCAGAGAGAGCTCTTCCCAGAAAGCGGTTACCTGTGGCCGAGCAGCCACAGACCCCGGGACACAGGCCAGCAGGCCACAGCTGGCCAAAGGCCGGGCCGCTGCCAAGGGCTTGGGCTATGGAGGGTTTTCCTTCAGTTCCCTCTACCATTCACTTCCTCGCTTACAGCTGAGCCTTTCTGTAAGAAAGATGCCGGACTAGGGCTGCAGGCACAGCACAAGGCACGAGCCCCTCTGTCTCCAACATAGAGACCATAACGTGTCACGGCGCTGAGCCCATCAGAAATGGTGTCAGTAAGTTACAAATGCTGCCTCGGTGCTGGCTGCTCTCTGAGCCCTCAGTAAGCCAGGGAGGTGCTCTAGGCCAAGAGGGCAGAGGAATGAGGTAGTTACCTCAGCTGGAGACCAGTCAGGATGAAGCCATTCCCCGGATGTCCTCAAAATCTTCCAGTCTCACATAGCAAGTGAGGCTTAAGCCTCACAATCATTCCATTGTCCCATTTCCTCTAAATGGGTTCCTCTGAGAGCCAGAGCCTGAACCCTTGGAAGGCCTCCACGGAGAGTCTCTTCCTCCAGGACCTGCACTGCAGAGAAGCCTGGCGGTGCTGCTGGGCCACGGCAGAGACAGAGCACTACAGACCGCAGCCCTGGGCCCCACCGGGAGGCCCCAGAGACAACAGCCCTCACATGGGCAGGCAGGGACTACGGGCCTACAGCTTGTGCAGCTGTGTGTGGGCATGCGGGTCCAGAGGCCTGAGCCCTTCACCTGGGACACCCCTCTGTGCCCACACTTCCTGCTTTTGCCTCCCCGCCAAAGCAGAGTTGTCTCCATCCCTCTGCCTTCTACAGGCCCGCCCTCAGCTCCATATCAGACGCACCGTTAGGCTCAGTGTCCGCAGGTCTGCAGGTGCGAGGCTACTGGCATTTCTGGATGGGGGTAGAAGGAAAGGAGCAGGGCCTGTGAGCCTCAGCCAGTTCTCACCCTGAGCCCATTCATGTGTGCCTCCCTCTGGTTGTCCACATCCCTGGCTCTCCCCGCTACGGGCTTTGCCTCGTGCCACACACTTCACCACTCTGTCCTCTCTACTCTTGGTGGAGAATCTGCACCACCACTGATTCCAAACAGGAAATAGAGCTCTTCTGCGGGGCCACCACGGGGGCAAGGGACAAGGAATGCTGTCCGTGCAAAACCTTGCACATGCTCAGCAGGCACTCGGCCCTGCAGTTCATGGCAGACCACCAACCTCTGCAGCACAGGTGAGCCACGAGGACACAGGTGACAGGAAAGAGCCAGTCCCAAAGGGACAAACACTGAGGGGTCTACAGGCCTTCTGTGTCTCATTCCTAGAGAGTGGGAGACAAGGGCGGCAGAGGGAGGCTGGGGCTGTTGTTTAATAGGGACGGAACTTTATCATCTTGGCAAGATGAGGAGCATTTTGAAGATGGGCAGCGGGAAGGCTCCAGGACGACAGGAACGTGTCAGCACTGCCAAACCACACACTTGCAAGCTGCTACTAAGACGATAAATGCATTCACCATGATGGGAAACAACTTTTAAATGGTCCAGATGGTTTAAAAAGAGTGACAATCGATTCTGAGTTAGAAACTGAGTTAGCTTGTTTGTCTGAAGAACCCAATTGGCCGGCAAACAAAAAACCCAGTCACCAGCAGAGTACAAGCACATACCTTCTCTTTCCAGGGCCTGGTTTCTTGTCTACCTAGTTAGTTCCTAGGTCGCCAGCCCCGAGCCTGACTCTGCACTCCAATCCAGCCTGAGCATACTCCATTTCCTCACTAGCTCTCCTGAGAGCGAGTTCCTGCCTGAGCTCAGAGCCCTCGCCAAAAGCCCTGCCAGCCACTGTGAACTGTGAACTCCTCTGTGTGCCTGACACAGTTCCCAGTCCTCTGTTCTCTCCTCCACCTGGCTGAGAACCATAAAGGTTGCTGGCACACAAAGGAGATTCGCTGTCCCCATGATATGGCCTCCTTCAAAGGCCACATCTTCTGAGACAACTTCTAAAGGAAGAGGCTGTGGGAACCCGAGTGTGTTCTCCCCGACACCGCCAGGAAGCAGGGCAGGGACGGAACATAAGACAGGGACCTTCACAGGCAGGAGGCCCTGGGTAGTTCTGAGACCTCAGGGAAAAGTGGATAGAGCCCATTTCAAAGCTCTTGGGAAATGGCACCAAACAAGAGTTGCTCTTCAAGAGAACAGCCTGTCTCCGTCCCACTTACCTGGTTACAGGTGTTAATATCTACCCCATTCCGCAGGTGATCCAAAGCTTTGTCCAAGTTACCTGATCGTGCTGCCCTTAGAAAGCTGGTAGCAGCATCGGCCTGTGGAGAAAACATCAAGCCGTGAGTGTCCCCTGCACAGTCCCAATCTCCAGGTCCCTCTGAAGTTTCACTCCTGTTAGGGCACCCTGCTCCCTGAGTGTCCCTGGTAGAATGGAGGTGCCATTGAGCCCCCAGTTGGACTGATCTGGGGCCCAGCACCCGCTTCCCTTCCTTTGGGTATTTTATAAGCCTATAATCTGGGGACCTCTTCTTGGGTCCCAGCCCTCCAGAGCAATCCCACTCCAAGGGCCAGTGCTCAGCACAGTCTGGGGGTCCAGTACTTGGGTGTTTCAGGTGTTCCACATTCTCACTGGGGAACCTCTGATAGGGTGCTGGCCCCTGGCTCCAGGGATCCATGAACACAGGCGCCAGAGGAAGCCAGAAGGTGCTCCTCTGTGCTGCTTTGTGTCTATGTAAATAAATACAACCATGTTTATTATGTGCTGAAAATCACTATCAGCACTTCACATGCAGTATATATTTACACTCATGCTCCTCCTCTTGCTGTCTTTCTTGTCTGCTGCTCTACCACGGACCCCAGCAGAGTAAGACCCTGGTTCGCATTAAAGACAGAAGTGGTGACAAGGAGCAGGAGAGCTCAGGCAACAGCAGAAGTCTGACAACCAGTGAAGGCAGTGGAGAGGGCACAGGAATGGAGCTTGCGGCTCTGTACACAACAGCTGCGCAAGGGTAGCCAAGCACCCGAGACTCTGCGGTTTCCTGGTCCATAGGTGGGGAGGGGAGAGCCTTTCTCTATCCTAGTGACACATCAAGGAAATAACATACTAGGTAGAGTGAGAACAGTGCTAGGGACATAGCTGAGCTAACAGGGATCAGCCACAGAGGGCAGGGTGGGGGCCAGGCCTCCATACCCCCCACTTCTGGTTTTCACTCCAAAGAGGGCAGGCCTGTCTCCTCTCCCACACCACAACCTCAGAGAATGTGCTGCAGGGGTGGACAGTGCCCCCAAAGAAACACCCACACTCTAAGTTCTGCACCCCATGGTGCCTGTGTCCTTTGTTGGGAAGAGGGTCTGTATAGATGTGGTTAAGCTATGGCTCTGGAGATGAGATCATGCCAGAGTTCCAAGGCTGGTCTTAAATCCACCGATGAGTGTCCTCAGACAAGACAGAAGAGGAGACACGCACAGGGAGAAGGTAGCAACATGAGCAGGAACCGGAGACCGTAGCCATCAGTCAGGAGCCTGTGACGCCCAGGAGACTGGGGGTGGAAGAGAACCCCAGGCCTTGGGAGGGAGGGAGCACCTGCTCACAACGTCACTTCAGATCCCACCTGGGAGAGGACACATTTCTGTTGTTTTAAACCACCGAGTCTGTAGTCCTCTGTCATAGCAGCCATAAGGAACTAATGCCCCACTGATGATGACCACCCCTAACCACAGAACACTAGAAGTGTACAGTCAAGAGCCATAAACAATATTCTGCAATGAAATTTTGATCGCCTCTCCCCAAACGGGTGACGTGTCTTTGATTAACAGTGCCCTGTGGCAGGAAAAATCGTCAGCATTAGCGTCTTCTCTGAAGCTGATTCCTGCAGGTTTCACTGCGTACTCTGGCCCCCACATGAACCCCTCATGGCTTAAGTTCAAATCCAAACCCTGGGGCTGCCCACTCATCACACTCGCACACTTAGATCTCCCTGCCCCCAGAACGGCAGGAGAGCCCTCCTCTCCCCTCCTGTCCCCTCCTGGCCTACCCCATTACTCCCTGGACCCCGAGGTCTCGTCTGCCAATTCCAATCCTTCATTCAGGGCCCCCTGGGAGCCCCACCCCCTGCTTGACACCATCCTTGGCTACTCAGGATTTACCCCAGGAGAAACCATAGGACAGGAACTTGATCTATAAAAATGCACTTTAAACAAAAAAAATTCATATCGTACAGCACTGGCATAAATTAAACAACTAATGTTCTTTAATTTATGCAAGGCTTATCTCCTTGGCCAAATTATTTGCTTCTTGGAGCACAGACCAAATCTTCCATCTCCTTTGAATTCTTCAAAGCATGAAGTATCTGCAAGGCCAAGGCCTCCCTTGATCTAAAGCTCATGCCCACCATGGTCCCAGACCCCATAGCAGGTGCTGAGCAGTGGGGAAATAATACAGACGCGGGGACCAGTCTGTTAGTTTCCCCTGGGGGAGCTGGATTCCGAGAACCCAGACTCGAGGCCGATGGCTCAGATAAGCCTCGGTGCTGGCTGATTCCGGATCTCTGTCTGCATTCAACTAGGAGGAAAACATGATATTTATTTCCCAAGATTGAGAGTGCTAAAGAGCAGCTCTCCCACCAATTAACCATCTTTTGCAGCACAACAGTAGGATTCAGAATAAAAGCCTGAGAACAGGTGAATAAAAATAGATGTAATACCAACGAATGATGCCGTTTGACTGTTCCGAGCACTGACTCGAGGAAGAACAGCAGGGTGTCAGTGCCGGACAGAGAAGCAGGCGCACAGAGGCGGAGGGAAGGCAGCCTAGATGGCAGCAAGGACAACACAGCAGGTTCTGCAGCTTATAAACATAATCACAAAACTGTAACAGTGGTCATCAGGCCAAGAATGTTACCGATGGTAAATCCTCTCCTGCGCCCTAACCCCACCTCTCTCCCTTCCTGATTTTTTCTTTTACTTTTTATGATATTGGGGGTTGAATTTAGGGCCTTCACATCACAGCTGCACCCCCAGCCTTTTTATATTAATTTTAAGTCAGGGTCTCACAGAGTTGCCCAGGCTGGGCTCAAACTTGCAACCCTCCTGCCTCAGCCTCCCAGAGTGCTGGGATTACAACTATGTGCTGTCATGCAGTTTTTTGTTTCTTTTGTTTTTGTTCTTTTTGTGGTGCTGGGGATCAAACCCAAGGACTCGTGCCGGTTGGGCAAGCACTCTACCACTGAGCTCATCCCCAGGCCTCAGCAGTTTCTCTCTCAATCCTTACCACAACCTGTGCAGTGGGTCTAATTGTTGCTCTCATTTTAGAGATGGTAAAATGGAGGTATAGAGAAGTTAGTCAGTTGCCCAAGTTCTGCAGCTACTTAACACTCAAGAACTCCACTCAGGTATGACTGACTAAAGCCTGTGACCCGCAGTACCCATGCCAACAGTCCTGACAGACACAGGGGCTGCACAGGGACACGGTTAATCCACAGCACAGGAGTTTCTGTTGAGGCCAGCAGGCCCCAGCCTTGCTGTGAGCACGGTGTGAAGGCCAGCACAGGTCTCTGGAAGGGAGCACCTAGTTCTAGACCTCCCCTTCACTGAGGACAACATTGAGGCCCCAAGAAGTAAAGTGACTGGACAGTGTCACCCAGGTCATTAGAGGTGAGTTCGCTTGCTAAGTTTTGTCATTTTCTTTTTGGTCTCTGACAGACACAGAGCACCAGGGACACGAGCAGGAGGAGCCTCAGGATATCTCAGAGGTAGACTGCAGACAGTGCGCCCACCCCACTAGCTCCTGCCTCACTCACTTTCATTCTCCAGTGTGTTTACTAAGGTCCTATTTCAAGTCCAGTATCCTGCTAGGATAGAGAGAGAAAAAACTCAGAATGGAGGCCTCTGTTCTCAGGGTCGGAAGAACAGTGGCTGAGTTATAAAGGGGTTACCCACACACAGAGCCACGTGTGGATACATTCCACACAAACTCACTGAGGACCTCTGCAGGGCAGGGAATATTCAAACTGCGGGGACAATTGCCCTCATTGGTAAAGAGACTCAACTTTATCATCCTGTCCCTCTGAGCTCTGCCAGCCTCCCATGTAGTTCAACTGCCCCAGCTCAATTCCCTGTGCTCTGTGCACCCAGAAACATTCTATGTAATCCAACAAGGAAGGGAGTCAAAAGAATCCAGTACGTTCGTTAAAAATGCTGTATTTATCTGAGGGCTAAGATCAGCTCAGTGGTAGAACTTGCCTAGCATACATGTGGTCATGAGTTCTGTCCCCAGTACTGGGAAAAAATTCTGGGTAAATACTAACCGGAAAAGCAATGATACCAGAACACTAACTATTCTAGGGGTGGCAAACCTGTGGCATGCATGCCGTAGCGGGCTGTTTGTATCATGAAGGCTCTGAAAGGTTCGCCATCACTGACAGACTACCCCTGGGCAAAGTTTCCAGCCCTCTCCAAGTCCCATCCAGCCCTGCCCGACCGCTGCAGAAAGATCCGAGCTTCCACGGGGTTGCTCTCTGCCTCGCTGTGACAGACCCGGACCGGCACCACTCACGAGCACTCTGTGCACGTCTGGAGGCCATGCCCCAG